GGGGCGGAAGACGCCAGGACGCGAGATTGCTTTTCAGGGCGTTGGGGCGCCGAGGAAAACGCAAGACGCGATTGTTTCGAGGCGTCGAGGTGCCAGGGCGTTGGGGAAGACGCAAAGACGCGAGATTATTCGGCGCCGGGGCTCAGACGCGAAGACGTGAGATTGTTTGGAGGGGGACTCAGGTTGCTGGCTGAGTCCGGCTAAGCGTGCGAGAACGCTTGTGCCTGACCGTCTATACTGCCCAATGTCCTTCGTCAAAGAGCCCAAGCTGCCACAGTTACTGTACAGCGCGGCAGGCAGATCAGCGGTCTGTAGGAGGACTGCAGGGCCCGAGCCCTACCAGCCTGCGTTCCACAGAGCAAGTGCCAGCAACGGCTGCGTTCAGCCGCAGCTAGGCCAGGAGGCTCCGAGCCCCAAGTTAATTTCCTTAGCTTTTTGAGCTAAGATGTCCTCGATGAAAACTCGGCCGAACTCGCGCGGGAAACTGGAAAGGCCGTTACTAGTCCGTGAAAAGCAGTGAAAACTCGTGAAATTTCACGCTCTGAGTTATCTTGTCTTCACGACACCAGAAACCTCCTTAGCTCACACGGCCCAAGTAACTCAATCGGAGCCTCTCGGGGTGGTGCCAGCCTGCGTTCCACAGAGCAAGCGCCAGCAACAGCTGCGTTCAGCCGCATCTATGTGGCTACCAGCCTGCGCTAGTCACGGCTGCGTTCAGCCGCATCTATGTGGGACGAGGGGGCGGCGACGGAGGAGACGGGGAACGAGGAGCGACGAAAGGCAAGGGGCAGCAGCCATGAGCAGCATTAGGATTCGGCCGGACGCAGCCGGATTGAGACTCAGCCGGATCCAGCGGTTCCGTTTTGGACTGTTTGCGTTGGTTGGGTAGGCGGCTTCAATGTCTCAAGCCGAACCAAAGTTGGCGGCCGAGGCATCCAAATTCTAAAAAAGACGAGCGACCCTTCTAAAAGAATGGCACTGCGCCCCGGCTCAAGTCAAGGCGACTTGTCGGTCCGCATCAAGGACATGCGCAACTCTGCAGTCCACATTTGACTGGGAGCAGCTGGATACATTTGGATAGGTTTAATTTGCTTGGCTGCTTCCAGTGAATTATATGGAAACCACCACTAGACCAACTAAAACAAGTAGCAGATTAAGGATTTGTACCTTTTTGGGTTGGTTTTGAAAGAACACCGAAATGAAAGCCGTTTTTCTTTGCGGGGTCCAAGCTTAAAGACAAGCCCCTGATATCAAAAAGCAGCCGGCCTCTTCGTTCCGATTTGATTCGATTCTCCGCGCCCGCGGGTAGTTCGATGAGGTTGAGCTCGTGAAACCAAGCCTTTGGGTGGTTACCGGAAAATCGGGTCTGTTGCGCCGTTTGACCCAAAGGGAAGCAACAGAAAATCTCGGCTCTTCACGCCGCCCGGCGCCCCGCCCCAACACCTGGACAGAAACCAAAGGAGAGCACCGCTGGCCATGACTGGAGCTGCGTACCAAAAAGGGGGGACCTACAGGTTGAAAGGTCGATTCGCTTTGGGGCGGCAACTGGGTTTATGTAGGCCTTCTGATTCATTTGGGCATGTCAAACTAAGGAACTCACGTTGCTTGGCTCGCTTGCAAACTTGAGCTCCTTTAGAGTGTGGGGTTTGGAGCCCGCGCAAGAAGACGATGAGTGAACAGTAGACCGTGACCCTCCAACAGCAAGAGATTTCTTTGCGCTTTTTTCTGCTCATCGTTCCCATGAATCCGGCTTAATCCGCCTGAATTCGACGGGTTCCGGAGCTTTGAATCCGGAACCTGACCCTCTGTAACGCGCAAGGTCTCTCTTCAAAGAGCCCAAGCTGCCAAGGGTCCGAGCGTTGCTAGACAGCGCAGCAGGCAGATCAGCAGCCTGTTGGATAACTGCAGGGCCGAAAAACTGCCAGCGAAATTCTTTGCAATTGGGGCAGCCGCGTTCGGCCACATCTATGTGGGACACATGGTCCTACCAGCCTGCGCTTCACAGGCAAGCGCCAGCAACGTGTGCGTTCAGCCGCATCCATGTGGATCATGGTCCTTGACGGAGGTGAACAAGGAGGGACGAGGGGCGACGGGCGCGGGCGACAAGCAGCGACGGGAGCAATGGGGCGCGGGTGGCAGCGCGCAGCGCCGCGCGCAAGTGGAGCGGAGGCGAGGGGTGGGGGCGACAAGCAGCGAACTCTGTGAAGGTCTTCACGAAGGGGAGAGTGGGCAGGGCAAGGATTTGTCTGGCAAAAGAGGTCTGTGGATTCAAATATCAGCAAGGTTTAGCCGGAGATGCAGCCGATTTGCCCAGCACTCAAATTGGGCAGGCCGCTTCAATGCCGAGTTTTGATTGTGACTCACATGGGTTCAAGTTCAAGTCTCAAGCCGAAGTTGGCGTTATCAAAAACCGCTGGCCTTTTCACAGTTAGGCTGAGCTCGTGAAGCCAAGCTTTTGGGTGGTTACTGGAAAATCGGGCCTGTGACGCTGAAGGGTTAGCTTAACCCATAGCAAGCGGGAAACCACAAGGTCTACTGTTCACTCATCGTCTTCTTGTTGCGGCTCTTGCTCCCCAAGCTAAACAACTTTAACTCCTCGCCTCTTCGTGTCTGAGCCCCCGTCCAAACAATCTCGACTCTTCGCGTCTTCCCCGCTGGGGCACCTTGAAGCAATCTCGCATCTTCGCGTTTTCCCCAACGCCCCAACACCTCGACGCTTCGGACGGGGCCCAGAAACCAAAGATCACTGGGTCCCAAAAAGGGGGAACCCACAGGTTGAAACGGGCAATGAGTTTTCATATTCGTTTGGACACGGCGCTTTCATCGTTCCGGGCCTGAGTCCGGCTGGGCTTCATCCGCTTGAGTCCCGCCTGAAAGCCGCTGAATTCGCCGAATCAGGCTCATCCGGAGTTTGGCTTAATTAACAATTAAGCGCGGGACCTTCTTTATCAGCCCAAGCTGCCAAGGTTCCGCGCGCGCGGCTCTTTCCCAGTTGCTAGACAACGCTGCAGGCAGATTAGCAACGTGTAGGAGAACTGCAGCATTGGCGGCAGTGACAGTGAAATTGGGCTGTCAATGCTTGTGAAGCAAAGCAGCTCCCTCAAGCTGCGCCCGCTTTCCACAGAGCAAGCGCAAGCAATGGCTGCCTTCAGCCGCATCTATGTGGGACACATAGTCCTTGACAGGCGAGCTGGCAGCTGGATGCTTCAGCCGGAAATTGAGCCAGATTTCGCAGCCGGACTCAGCGGACAGCCAGATTCGGCCGGAATCAGCCGACTCAAGCCAGGTGCATCTTGAAAGTAAGTCACGTTTAGAAGCAGGTCGGTCTGGACAGCCGGGCAAACTAAACATGTATCAAGCTGCTCCCAGTCAAATGTGGATTGCAGAGTTGCGCATGTCCCTGATGCGGACCGACAATTCGCCTTGACTTGAGCTGGGGCGCAACTGGTTTCAGGTGGGCGGCTCATCTTGAGCTAGAATTCAAATTTTAGGCGGGTTACGAAGAAACACCGAAGGGAAAGCCGCTATTTTCGGGAACCCAACCTTCAAGACGAGCCCCTGTGTCAAAAAGCAGCCGGCCTCTTCCGTTCCGACTCGTCTTGATTCTCCACACTCGCGGATGGTTTAATGAGCTCGTGAAACCAAGCCGTTGGAATGATTACTGAAAAATCGCATCTGCGACACCAGAAAATTGGTTTAACCCAAAGGGAAGCAATGGCGAACCACTCGTGTTTGGTGCACCATGTTAAACATGCCCAAATGAACTCAGCTGCCCATTGAAAATGGATCCAACCGTTCAACCTTTCGACCTTCCAGTCATGGCCAGAGGTGGTCTCCTTTGGTGTCTGGGGCGTCGTGGAAGACGCGAGGGCGCCAGATTGTTTGGAGGCGTCGAGGAGTCGGGGCGTCGGGGTGTCGGGGAGTGAAGGGGAGACGCGAAGATGCGAAGACGCCAAATGCCAAGAATTACCGAGGTGTCGAGGCGTCAAGGCGTCGGCTCGATCAGCTCAGGCAGACACTCGCATCCTCTGCGCCCAATGCGATATCTACAGTCCCACTCGAAATGCAAGTAAAAGAAAGAGACAATGATAACTATGAGAGGATGAGAACGATGATAAAGATTGCATTGGTGGCTTGAACGATGATAAGTTTCAATGCTCCAGCCTACGCATCGCCGGCGGCGCCGATGATGAGTAGCATCGCAGCACCCTCTGCGTCTCCTGAGATATCAATCGTCGCAATTGAAATGTACCGGGGAAAGACAATGAGATGGTGATGGGAAAGAGAGAAGGATGACAATGATGATGAACATGGTATGCCTTAGCATGTTGATGGCCATGGTGATGATGGTGGTATCTATCACCATCGCATTGTGTCACCGTAGCGCCATCTGCATTCCCTCCGACGTCTGGCGTCACACTTGATCTACATGTAAGAAAGCAAGAAGCCGACAACCGTGACGATGATGATGACGATGATGCTGATGATAACGAGAATTAAGATAACTGTGGCACGCACGTTGGGACACCTGCCATCGTAGAATCCTGTGCATCCCCAGCGGCGGACACTATTATCGTAGCGTCCTCTGTACCCCCAGCGATGTCTAACGTCACACTTGAAATGTACATAAAGAAGAGACAGCGATCGCTATGATGACCATAATGAGGAGACTCATTCTACTGATCATGGTTATGATGCTAGCTATCATCGTAGCATCCTCTGCAGCCCCACTGGCGCCGATGGGAGCTAGCATAGTAGCATCCTCTGCATCCCCAGCGATTTCCAACATCGCACTCGGATCTTGTAGACACGAGAAGAAAGGTGACAACTATGACAGTGATGATAACGCTGATGACTCTCATCAAAGCTGTTTGCAGGGGCGCCTGACGTCACAACGATTGTTGCTTCAAGACTGCCTGCGAAGCGGAATCATGACACAATTCGCCAGGCTTGAGGGGTGTGGTCGGATGGTGAATTCTTTCGAGCTCGTCTTTTTCCAGGTGTGCCAGGAGCCTCCGGAAGAGCAGCCAGCGAATCTGGCGCAGGAGCTTGCGGGCAAACCCAGCTTGCCGCAGGGTTTCATGTTCACCGGGCCACTCGCGTTGAATTCGTCGCCTTCTGGCCTGTTGAGGGAGAAACATCGTTGGGGTTCTGTGGACTTGGAGATGGAGATTGGGAGCCCTGAGATCTAATATTCAACCGCTAAAAGCAAGATAATACACAAAGAGAAGGAAAATCTGAGGGTCAATGATATCATTATTTTCATACCAGCAGTTATCGATCAACAGCTCACCGCTGAGACTACCGGGTGTCCAAGAACCACGGAAACCTTCCCCAAAAGGTCTTCCAAAACGCAAAGCCCTCCGCGAACACAGATTCGAGGACAGGTAAGCGAAACCAGCCGCGTTCAGTCTTCATTCGCCCGTCGCAGGACCCGGCGGAAGAGCTCCGCAGGGCGGTGGCTATCCTGGAGAAACTTCTTCGCCGCATGAGGCGCATTTTTTGGTGCAAACTGGTGGCATTGGTTTTCACGTTTCCGTGGGGTCGGTGCCGGTCTGGGCTTCAATTTTAATTTTTGGTTTGACTGTGCTCATGCGACGTTTTAGCGCCATGGGCCCTTCTTCGAGGATTTGACGGGTGGGTGACCTTTTTCCACTTGAAGGGAAAGGGCTTGGTGGAGGCAGCTGGCAAAGAAAAAGGCGCAGCTTGTGGCCTGACGTATGGCCGATTGTCCAACGCAGAACTGCGTGGAATGGAACAAACACACGAAACGCACGAACACAAACGCACTCAAACATAAATAAAAACGGATGAACACACAAACGCCCGCCCGCCCGCACACCCGCCCGCGCAGCGGCACGCCCGCCGGCCCACACGCCTTCGCGCACGGACACGCGCTCATGCGCGCAAAACACACCAAACACACAACCCAGAAAACAGACAGACCGCACAAACCACACAAAGAAGAACACATGACACACACACACAGAACACAAAACACAAACAAACGCGCATGCACACACACGCAGACAACCCCACACGAGCGCACAAACATTGCACCTACAAACGGGCACGCGCTCAAGCAGTTAAGTATGCACAGACAAACGCACAAACCCAAACACCCCCACACCACACCACACTGTGTAACACAACGCGCCGCAAGAAAAGACAGCACACGTGCACACACACACACACGGACACACACACACACGAACAGATACAACACACACAGGCACCAAGATGCCCGCACACGCGTGCGCGCGCACACACACACACACATTCACGCGCGACACACACATCACGCACACACACACACACACACACGCACACACACACACACACAGAGACATGCAAGCGCAATAAAACCCAAATTCATTAGCACACACACCCAAACGGACAAACGCACCGCAACCCACGCACACAGAACGCATCCCAGCGCAGCACAACCCAAAACAACACAAGACTCGACAATCACAACCACAACCACTACCGCAACACATTGCAGCACACTCTGGCGCTTCGACTTCGCCGCTATTGGAAAGATGGGGCCCCCTTCCTCGAGGAGCAACTTGGGCTCGGGGACAACATGGACAGTAACAGCCCCATACGATACCGAAGGCCTGTGTCGGTGCGCCAACCCAAGAACAAGCGTGGGGCCATGTTGGGCTCGAGCAATTGCTTCCCGGCCAACTTAGACGGCGCCGAACGAGTTGGCCGCGGCAACAGCGGGTCATTACTTCCCATTGCGACTTTGATGAGCCCAGGACAGGCAAAAGGCAGTGAGTGCTCCTACAACATTCATTCTCCTCTCTGACACCGCGCTCAAGCTCAGAGGTATGTGGCCAGCGATTTGGGAGACGAAGAGCCGGAAGTTCCTCTTTTGAAGCCGGGTCTGCCGCGGAAAACACATCCTTGGCGACATAGTTGGGCTTGCCTCCGCCGACGCCGATGCCCAAATGCTCATCTCCTTTCGCCAGCAAAACGCTGGCAGTTGCAAGCGTGGAACGGAGCGGTGGGAGCATCCAGCATGTCATCACTCCGCCCCCGGCTTTCAGGCCACGCGCGTCGCCGTCTTCTTGCAATGTTGCAGATCTTGCAGAAATGCCCTTTCTCGTCCTTCTTGGGTTTCTTTGACTGCCTTCTTCGTCGGCATGGCGCTTGTAGCTGCGTCCTTGCCCGAGTTGCGCACCGATGGTTTGAGATTGTGCTTTTGCTGGACCAGCTCGATGGCCAGATCAGCTTTCGACCAAAGCTTTCTGGTTGCACGGCGAGGCGCTTTGGGGCGGAACATGTCTCGAACTCATCAAGCAAAGGATTGAACAAGGTGCGATTTCTGTCAACCCGAAGGATAGAGTAACATGTCTCGCACGAAGCCTAAGGCTACTGACTGACCGGCAAGTTTCAGACCAAGGTGCGTTCACCAAGGACGCCGAGTTTGCCACGCTCTAATTTAAAGTGAGTGAAAGCGGACCGCGGCATCGCCCGCCTACTTCGAGTGAGGGCACGCTCCTGCTCCGCCATGTTTCGAAACAACGACCCAAACTTGCCCTTGGGGCGTATCTATCACTCCAGCTCTGTTGCTGCGTGCAGTTAGAGGAGTTGAAGAACTTGCTGAATGATGAAGAAGAGGATGCCCAGCAGTCAGCAGGACCTGCTTCAAACCGTCAATCTGGGACACACAGCACTTTGAGGCCCTAAGCTTTCAAAAAATAAGCTCAGGTGATATTCCCAACAGCATGCCGTGCTTTTTTTAGCGCTCAACATCTTGTGGAACCCGATCAAACCCTGGTGAAACCCTGATAAAACTCTGGTGGAACCCCTGGTGGAGCCCTGGTGGAACCTTACCTCAGGGCCGCTCCAGACCACCCCGGAGCCTATCTGGGCTGAGACCCCAAAGCTTTCAGCTGTTGGGGAAAAGCCTGAAAAGCCTCATGCAAAAACTTGCAGGCAAGCCTCGCCAATCTTAAGAGGTCAGCTTCGAAGAAGGACGCAGCCAAGAACCAAAAGCAGGATGTGAGTGAAACCTTCAAGACAGGAAAGTTGCAGATCATGGCCTACAAGGAAACAACAAGCGGGTGAAGCAGGGCAGGCAGTTTTTTGTTGTTAGGAAGTTTCACAACGGAGACAAAATGGGAATGCAGCACCCAAGCTCATGAAGATGCAAGAAAAGTGTGAGCAGTGTTTCGTTCCCAGAGCGATGCCACCCAACGTGGCATCTGGCTGAAGAGTGGTAGCATGGTAATCGGCGCCAGCGAGAAAACAACCGCGTCCGCGCGCCATTTGCAGTTCCATTGCTCGTGTTGGGGACTTCGGGGAGTGGAGGTGGTGCAACCAACCATTGGTATTCCAAGAATACACCCTCAATTTCTCAGGTTATCAGCCGTCTCCCACGAGCTGCAAGACAAAGGTCACACAAGGACAAGAGGGACCTTTTCTTGTCCCAAATTATTGGATCAAAGATTTGGTTGAGATTGCGACACTTTTCGAGACGATGTTCGACGGAAATACTGCAATTACGTTTGAAGGATCGACTGCGAGTGTCCTCACAGACCACGCCGGAGCCAACCGGACATGGAAGTGGAGATACCCTCGCGGGTTTTGGAGCTCGAGCCTTAAATCAGCCCTAGGCTGACGTGGACCAGACTATGATGCCTTGCCGCTCCTTTGAACCAGGGCGCATGCCCGTAAATCCCGAGGGGCCATGTTGGGCTCGAGCGTTTGCTTCCCGACCGAGTTAGACGGTACCGAACGAGTTGGCTGCAGCAACAGCGGGTCATTACTTCCCGTTGGGGCTTTGATGAGCCGAGGACAGGCAATCAGCATTGAGTGCTCCTACAACATTCCTTCTCTCTCTCACACCGCGCTCAAGCTCAGAGGCATTGGGAGACGAAGGGCCGGAAGTTCCTCTTTTCCGGGTCTGCCCCGGAAAACACATCCCTGGCGACATGGTGGGGCTTGCCTCCGCCGACGCCGATGCCCAAATGCTCATCTCCTTTCGCCAGCAAAACGCTGGCAGTTGCAAGCGTGGAACGGAGCGGTGGGAGCATCCAGCATGTCATCACTCCGCCCCCGGCTTTCAGGCCACGCGCGTCGCCGTCTTCTTGCAATGTTGCAGATCTTGCAGAAATGCCCTTTCTCGTCCTTCTTGGGTTTCTTTGACTGCCTTCTTCGCCGGCATGGCGCTTGTAGCTGCGTCCTTGCCCGAGTTGCGCACCGATGGTTTGAGATTGCGCTTTTGCTGGACCAGCTCGATGGCCAGATCAGCTTTCGACCAAAGCTTTCTGGTTGCACGGCGAGGCGCTTTGGGGCGGAACATGTCTCGAACTCATCAAGCAAAGGATTGAACAAGGTGCGATTTTTGTCAACTCGAAGGATAGAGTAACATGTCTCGCACGAAGCCTAAGGCCTCTAGATCGGCTACTGACTGACCGGCAAGTTTCAGACCAAGGAGCGTTCACCAAGGACGCCGAGTTTGCCACGCTCTAATTTAAAGTGAGTGAAAGCGGACCGCGGCATCGCCCGCCTACTTCGAGTGAGGGCACGCTCCTGCTCTGCCATGTCTCGAAACAACGACCCAAACTTGCCCTTGGCGTATTTATGACTCCAGCTCTGTTGCTGCGTGCAGTTAGAGGAGTTGAAGAACTTGCTGGATGATGAAGAAGAGGATTGCCCAGCAGTCAGCAGGACCTGCCTCGCCCAGGACTTGCTGGACATGGCGGTCCCAGAAACACCAGCCAAAAGAACAAATCTGGCTTGTGACCGGTGGCAGGGCACATGCCCGTAAATCCCGAAAGGGGGACAGGGACTGAGGCGAGGGTCCAGGAAATGCGGATGAACAACTCGAAGAAGGACTGCGTAAGCGCCAAGCAAAGACGGAGCAGTGTATGAGTGAAACAGCTGAACATTTTGACGAAGTTCGGTCTTTGCGGGGTGAGCGCGCTACCATGGAATCTACGATCCAAGCAGTACGGACCGATGAGGCAGGGTGTGTTCAGAGAACTACCGGCTTGGAAAGAATGAATCACACCCTCGAAGCCCAAGTTGATCATGTTCATGGGAGAATGAAGCATGAATACGACCTTGCGATTGAGCAGTTGAGGGTGACAAAAGAACATTGCAGTTCGGGCATTCTCCATATGTGAAGAAGCGCAAAGGTACAAATCCGAGAGCCACGAGTCCTCGACATTGATGCATCAGGCAACCAGTGCCACGAAGGAGCTCCAATTTCAGGTTAGCGTGGAGGTGGGTGCAAGAGGACGCTTTGAAGGGGAAATGGAAGTGCTCAGAGAAAGATTTCGATCTGATGAAACCAACATGCAGACCAGGATGAAAGGCGCCCAGACGTATCACAGCAACGTGGTGTCAAACAAGGATGTGCAAACGCAATCTTTGAGATCGCAGGTGGAAGAAGTATCTGAGTCGAGATCCAGAGAAGATTAGCTGCAGACTGCAAGAGTGTTGGCCAAGAGCGAAGTTGACGCTGAAAAGCTGGC